AATGAGGAAATGTGAGTCTTATTTGCATGCCGTAAGGAAATAGTGAAACGTTTACCTTTTCTGCTTCGATAGGTTTTGAATGTCGCTGAAACTACGCCTATTCGTCTACAATTCACTTAAAAAACACGCCAAACTGTCGAAGTTCTGTATCTATTTATACGGAATCCACACAAAAATATTTGCTCTTATTCTAAATATGTGTTCATCTTCGTTTCCATCAACAAAAAAAAAACGTTTAGACAGTAGACTAGGTTAAAAAATTATACTTCATTAGATTTATTTACAGGAAACCTAGTCCTCATACCAAGCGACAAATCACTGAAACGCTCAGTATGAATAATAATTAGTGTCATCTGCCGACTTTTTTCAAACCAATATCAAACTTCCGTAGTATTGCAAATGGAGAAAATTAGTGAGACCTCCTAGATCATGTTTTTCTGTTTTGTTGTTTTGAGAGTAAAACACATAACTCGACCTGGAATTACGTCATATTATCAGAAAATTTATCACCTAAATTGACAGTGCATATTAAAATGTACTTGACTTACAAGACAAAAAGAAAACATGCGCAGCGGAATAAGTTGGATTTGATTCAGGAAAGTCTTGTAAAAGCAATTCTATTTCCTTGAGAAAAATTACGGAGACCGACTGACTTACTGCTCTTCGGGGCCTCATGATATATATTGCATGCATATTTAGTTTTTGACGCTTGCAGTTTAGAGATTCTACAACTAGACATTCAGTAATTACATAAACTATAGACAAACTTACGAGTTACACCGTACTCAGTTATATCTTGCATCTTGAAACATGATGATAATACACGTGTGGCAGCATCATCCATAATCAAAACCTTCCAGCCGGGTGTTTTGGAAAGTTTTTCAAAAACATATTTACGCAAAGCTATGGAATAAGGTACAATGACCAAAACAACATACAGGACCCGACCTCGCTTATCAAAGACATCAGGCTCTAGAGAGTTAAACTCCTTAAAAAGGCCTTCCAATAATAAGTATTTTAACTGAAAATGGTGCAAAAGGGCAAGGTATAAACGGTAATCCCTTTCAAATCTGTCCGCCGTTTCGTTTCAACGACCTTGAACGCGCTGACTGGAAGCGGGCATTCCGTATTTCAATTGCCGTGTGTGTGTTGGGTCCTATGAGTATGAAATGTTTCCATATATAAGTCATCTTTTGATGCATAATAAACACTAAATAACTGCTGAGAGCATTAACTGAGTATTTTATGTTTTGTAGTGCACACTTTAGCTCTGTTGTTCCTTCGAAACTTGATCTGTGGTCCTAAGTGCTGTAGTGAAAGTCAACAGCTATATATAATTTGTTGATAAGGTCCAGAAAACAACGTAAGAAAGATAAAATAACGTAAAAGGTTATAGATGCGCCTAGTTTTTGTGAGTTAAGACGAAATGTCAACTGAAGGGTAAGTCCTAAATATTTGTTGTTCTTCCTTCAGTTAATTTTTTTCAAGGAATAACCTTTTTTTAATAACTATTGTATGTTGTCTCTAGTGCTTCATGCTCAAGTGAAATTTCAGTGAACGTAAGCGACGTATTATGCTGAACAAGAGATTCGGAAGCTGGATTAAAGTATGATAGGATAAACCTATGTTTTCTCAGATGACCCATACACACTATGTTCACGCAGAAAGTAGATTGTTGAAGGATGTGAGATATAAATACTTGTTCGTAGTGTTTCGTTGCACGTTTGGTCGTAAACGTAAATCAGAAGGTCTGAATGTGAATAAAAAACCGTGAGGACTCTAACTAATGTGTTACATTTAAGGTCTAAATTTTTAAATTGCCAATCGATTTTTCGCGTAAGATTGGAGGGTCAACAATACGTTATAAAATCTTACAACATGTCTCACAACCATCGGTGTACTAGTTCGTGGATGGTTTGTGATCCGTTGAGTAAAGGATTGTCATCAGAAGAAAAAGAAAACTTGAAACCAGTTATATTGCACTGTCAGTCGACGGACGAAGTTATCGAAAGTATTAAGGAAAGAACAGGTAAGCAGGTGACCGCTGCTGATGTAAAAAATATGAAAGCTGAACTCTCCACTGGTAAGTGTATATAAATATATTTCAGGTTGGACTCGGAAGCAGGTATTGCAGATGATGCGACAAAACGGTGAAGTTAGAGAGCATGCAGAAAATGGATGTATTACGGCGATATGCTTCAGCAGTTATGATCAGATACGGCTGTACAGTCAATATCCCGAAGTCGTGTGTATTGATTCTACTTATAAAACTAATAATAAAAAGTGAATATGATTTTCGTTTTGTTCTACTATGTAGATATTCATTATTCCAGTTAGTGGTGACAGACAATTGGGGCCGAGGTCGAACTGTTATGTTTGCATGGACACAAAAAGAAAAGCGTGCCGATGTTACGTGGGTTTTGGATAAATTCAAGGAGATAATGGGTAACACGACCAAAACAGAAACATTTGTGATGGATTTCGCACGATCTGAAAGCGCGGCTGTCCGTATAACGCACGGGCATGCAAACATTATTTTGTGCGCCTTTCATTACGAAGTGGATGTAAGTATTTGTGAATGCAATTGTAGCACGTTTAATATGTGTCGATATCCGTGCCGCCATCTCCTGCTGGCATATATTAAAAGACGAAGTCTAACAGGTAAGTTATTTAAATTATAAAATATAAACTGCATAGCTCATCAACTTCTTAGGTGTTGCTGCAGATGGAAATTAGACAATACGCACAATTTACAAAACAACACAGGAATTTCATTACCGAGACGGAGTAAAGAATATATACAACTTCAACGGCTCCAAAGAATGTGCAAACAACAAATTGTTGAGGAATATGGTGAACGCTTCGCGAATCAGGTGGAGAGAAAAGTCTACAATTTTTACTTAAGAATTATAAACAGCTAGACAGCAGGTTTACGATTAACAGTTCTTTGTGGCTATTTATACAACTTGTAAACTTATCTTTCCACTTTAGTAGTCATGAAAAATCAATAAACTTTTTCTCATTTTTTATTTTCGTCTTCTTCATACTTTCATGGGGAGGTTTACCAATCGCTTTAACGAATAATTGTGTGTGAAAATTAAGAATTTGTACTACTGTATTAGTTACGAACTGTCGTTAGAACTTAGTGTTATATCGTTGTTCATTGTGAGGAATCAACGAGTCAAATAAAACAATAATGCGACTTCCACGTAAAACCTTACAGACTAAACCGCCTTACATATTTTCCGTTGTCAGATTACGCCCATTATCAAGTTAGTATTAGTATGGAACTAGACAATTTCATGCAGCTAGTTCCTTGATAAGATGGATTACGTAATCCTTAGACCATCTTTCCACTCACACTTCTTTGCTAAATTATGTTAACTCTTCAGATTGTCTTCACTTATCTTATTAGTTCTTAATTCACTGATTTATTCATTACATCTAGAATTATCACACAATTTATCTTATATGCTTCTGAGCTTCACTCGACTATTACACCACCCATCCTTTATGTTCCCTTAAGTCTAACACCAAATGACCTTTGACCTGTTCAAGCATATACATATGTATAGTTATTATTGATAACCTAGGTCATCCCAATTCTTTGCTTTCTATTATCTTTCATACTATTTCTTCCCTCAATCTTAAATTATAATGCATATTCAGTTGTATGCAACTTATGAGAAACCACGAAATGTAATGCAGTCACATGATTCTGCGTCAATATTTGTTTTGGCTTTATTTAGACCATAATTATACAAACTTACAGGATTTATAATATAAAACACTGCGTATGGTTGTTATATTTATATTTAAATAATTCATTAGATGAATGAGCATAGCAGTAGGTAATATAAAACAGTTATCGTAAACTTGTAAACCGGTTTTCCACACGATCTTCCGTAATCCTAAATTCCATAAGCTTCATACTATTCTGAAAAACAACAAATCCGTTTTGAGACAAACAATTAAACTTTGTTCTCAGTATCATATTCAATAAGTTATTCAAATAGCAAGTAACAGACTGTGCCTATAAGTCTTTTATTAACAAGTAGTGACATTCATTCATAACTTCCTAAGTAACACAACAACTGTATTACCGAGACGGAGTGAAGAGTATATAATAACTCATTTGTGAACCCTATAACAGACACCTCACAAATCAGTATTAACTAAAAAACATGGTTGTGTCACCATTCATGAAGATTTTGTTCCTACTTGATGTGGTGTTATACACTATTACTGCAGACGTTCAGAAAGCCGCTGGACAACACTATAAACGTCAATTGTTACTCACATATTTCTTTTCTCAGATACGTTACATAATTATGTCACTTCAGTACAAAACAATGGTACCTCTAATAAATATAACTTTTTATGGCTAAATACAAGCAAGTTATATAATATTCACAATTAGGTTAACGCTTGATTGCTTCTACTTACATTTTATAAACAACTACCGACATCCATGTTCACCGTCACCGCAATCAAGGAGGTGAACCATATGTAAAAGATTTTACGGTTCATTTTCATGAAAACTCAATCTGTGGTGTATTTTTTGACCAGAAAAACGGTGAACTTTACTTGCTTGAGTTTGTATTGTTACAAATAACCATATTAAGCTAACTTCAGATTTACTTACGTGGTGAGCAAGAAATACGTCAAACTGCCAATAAATTGGAATAAAACTATGTTACAAGCACTAGCAATACAGAAATTGATGTGTCATGCAAAAAAGCCTGTTAATAGCTGATAAATAACGACACAAAAAATCCACGACAATATGTAACGTGTGCGCGAAAATCCCTGGCTTACCCGCTAGTCCGTGCCGTGCAAAAGGGCAACGCTCCTAGGGTATCGTCCACTGATGGGGGTTGCGAGCACTTGAAGGTCAAACTGTCGCAAAATGATTGGTGCGTCACATCGACAATTCGTGAAAATTTTCAGAAGCGGTCAAATCAAGACATTTTTGGATTTGAATTGAGTTCAGCTACACTATGTCTGATAACGTTCATTCTTCAAGTAACGAAGACGATTCCATCGTGATGATGCATGATATAGGCCGAATCTTCAATGATATTATGTTATCTCGAAGATTTACAAGTTGGGACAATTTTGAGACCTGTTTGAAAGAAGTACATAAGGTAATATGACCTCTGTGGTTAATAATTATTTTTTTAGTATACGCATACTAAGTACGTTATGTCAGTATGCAAAAAGAACAGTGATGATCCAACTCTAAAGTACTTTTTCGTGAGATATGTCTGTACATATGGACGTAAACGCAGTTCGTCAGAGTCAGATGCTTGCGTTCAGGATGTAGATGATGATGGTAATAATCATTCTTCTGAAGAGCATACAACTTCTAACTCGCCAACACAACCTAGGCAAAGGAGACGACGTCGGTCATCTACGTATGCCTTACTTCAAGTGAATTTATCCTTCAAGTCGAAATATTGCCACTGTAAATCAGGATTTTGGGTCCGGGCACTGAATGGTGAGTTGAAACTCACCTCTATTAAAACCGTGCACAACCATCCTTGCACAGAAGGATATATTTCTGTCGATCCATCGAAACGACAGCTGACCTCAAGTGAACGCTTGTATTTAAGAACGTTTCTACTGAGTAATACACCAACTCGTAGCTTACGGTATCTGGTTTCTTTGAAGTTCAATAAACAACTTACCAAGGACGATATCGCCAGAATGCGTTCACAGTTGTACCCAGGTTGTTGAACTCACATTGTAATTAATTGAGTTTAGACACTAAAAATATCAATAACATTTTACAGCGCATTCAAGGAAAGACTGAAGTTAAAGTATTCTATGAAAATGGGAACATGTCTATGATTTGCTTCAGCCGCAGAGAGCAAATAGCTGTTTACCACGCGTTCCCGGAAGTAATATGTATTGATTCGACTTATCAGACCAATAAAGTCGGGTAAGTGACGATTAGTAATAAATTTATCTGAAAGCTTTCCACTGTTCCAGCTAGTGGTCACTGATAGTCTTGGGCAAGGGCACACTGTTATGTATGCTCTTTGCAGTCAAGAACGACGCGAAGATATAGAAAAACTATTGGAATGTTTTAAAGAGATAATGTGCGGTATTTATGCTACACGCACGTTCATTATGGATTCGGCAGCGACCGAAATTTCGGCTGTGCAGTCTACGCACAGTCATTCTAACATAATACTTTGTTCATTCCATGTCCTAAGAGCGTTTTTCAGGAAGGTATGTGTTAGCTGTACAAATTATTTTCTGTAGTTCCGAAATCCTGATGTGCGCAAATGCTTGGAACAGCTTGTGAAGACTAGACGGTCTGATATGTGAGCTTCGCTTTTCATAGCGCATTATATTCAGATTTACTCGAAAGTACGAACATCTAAGAACGCATTTTCCACGGGCGTATGATTACATAAAAGATTACTGGATTGCTAGGAAGTCAATGTGGGCTCGCTGTTACCGGCGACATGTATTAAGCCTGGGCAACCACACAAACAACCGTGTTGAAAGTGCTCATAAACACCTAAAAGAATGTCTCAGAAGAGGTGATTCCCTATTATTGACGTTCTGGAAAATTTGGAGTAAAACAGACATTGATCTACGTTTGCGTCCTTATGACGCTGTGAAGGATCTTCAACGTTTTCCTATTCTTCCGGTAAGAAATATAGTTAAATGTATCATTAATTCCAGGTTCCAATGTCATTTCGAACTCTTCTAAATGATTTCACATCTTTTGCAGCTAAAATTGTAAGTGTAAATTATAAACGTGGTCATATTTTGTATGCACATTCTAAAGATCTGATTCGCGGAGGTATGTGTGTTCCTTTATCTCTATAAGTTTTGTAGACTTATTTCGACATAGCAACCGGTGGACAAGAAAATACATAATGGACCTGGTTCTTCGTGCGCTGGACAACATCTCAATCTCTACAGGGAGTGATGATCTGCTAGAGAAGTTCACTAGCAACTACCACTCAATCCATGCTCTTAGTGAACCTATGGCAAGTAAACTCATCCGTTCATGCCTCGAAGCATCGGAAGACATATGTGCACAGTTGATGAGTTCAGTCGGTGCTAATGATGAAGCTACAACGTCAGAATCCATTGTTAATGCAGACCATAGCTATGCTTCTTGCTAACAAGAAGTTCTAATATTGTAATCTTTTTAGTCTTACATAAATTCATTTATATGGCCATTGACTTATTCTTATAGCGTAACGGCAGGGAGTGTACTGTGCAGTCTTATGTGGCTGTGAGACAGGGATGTTGTTTCGCGTTCTTGTGTAATAATTACCAGTTTGGCGCACACGCGATTAGTTATACATACCGTTTACCAAATACTGCTACCTTGAACATGGTGTACCATACTAGTAGTTCGGATTTCGACGTATCACGATAGATAAGAATTGCCGTAATTAAGAGACTGGTGCGTTATAAATGTAAACGTTTATTAAAGTTTGAATCTAGCATAAATGATCCATTAATAAATAACTTCTACTTCTCAGGAATTGTTCCCGTTAGGTCTGTGAACGCTTGCGAAGCTAGCTGGAAATAAGATAGACAGGGAAGTTATTTCAGTATAAATGTTTACCAGAAACTAGTATAAAAACAGAAACCAGTATCCAATTACAGATCGAAAGTGCATTTAGCACACCCTTCCTTTGGATAGTCAATCACGCTTATTTCCTTTATCTCTTGCGTTGCTTAGGAAAGTCTGGGTCACAACATACACGGATTGTATTATTTAATTCTTTGGGCAGGTTGCACTTCAGAAACTTAGACGATGAACATATATAAAGACTACTGTGTGAATTTACTTTCAATCGTCCTGTGTAACCTGAAATTCTTGATGCATATTCTATTCTAGTCCCACGTAAGTTATGAGTAATTGTCATTTACGGCATCAGCACGTAAGCTAGACAGGCCTTGGTGGATTTCCGAAGATCATCACATAGGATCTCACACAATCTGGTCACCTTAGATCAAGATATCTTGACTATCGAATCGTACTTTTCAGTGCTTTCTCGTAACAGCTTTATATCAGTACTTATTTCTGATATTAGGTATTTTTGCAATAATACCGGCAGCCAAAACATTGTAGCTCCCCAGACAACCCAAAAAGGGAAAATAAAGGGGTAAATGCTTTGGTAGCGAAAGGGGAAAACACATCAGAATGTCGCATTTTTCGCCTGTCCAGAGGAAATAATGTGGATAAATTACTCACTTTTCGCCTAAATACACACAGAACTCCCTATTTTCCATCCATTGACATAACCCCAAAGGTCTACTATGTTCACCTTTATTTTCAACAACAGACCAAAATAAATCTGCAATACAGTGAAAGACCGGCATGTTTTTGAAAATTTTTATTTAAAAGGTAAAGCGTATTATTGTACAACACTAGAGCAGAAGCTTAAGCATCGATTGTTTTGCATATCCAATGCAATTGCTAATTCATTGTTATTTGAAATTATCTGCAAAAGAAGAAACACGTGATGTATTATTTATAAGGAATGTGCATTTATTCAAAAGTTCACTGACACTCAGACACACATTCTCAACACTTCTACAGTTTCCCATGTAAGTAAAAAAGTAAGCTGTTTGAAAAATATTTATTGAAATGTAGGTAGAACATCAAAACAATTGCACGGCTATTGAGAATTGAGGTAGTCGTCCCGTGAATTCAGAATTTAAAAAAAGAAAAAAGTCACAACCATATCTCAATGACATGCTTTGGTACAGCCAAATACTTGTGTACATCTACACAAGAGGTAGTAATGCTATCTTAGCTTCGTCTTTGGCAGAATCTCCACATAATTATACCTCTACCGCATGATTATGATTTATTTCCTGCAATACAATCATCTGATGGCTAATATATCCAACTGTAGGAGGTGATATTAACATCTTAATATATGTGTTATTACCATCTATAGCATATACATAATATTTACAACACTCAGGACACCTTGTTTTCACTATAAACCTATTTCTGCCATAAAAGTCGAACAAAACAGTGAATATCAGCAGAAATTGTGATAAAGACGGGAAAAACGATAAATCTTACCATGGTATCTTTAGTTGTGACGCAGTTTTGGTAGCCTAGACGACAATACAATTTTTATGACGATATATGCCTGAATCTTCCTATTTCATATAAAAATAAAAGATTTGTCTACCATCAGTGTATACCTAATTAGAAATAATTGCTAATCTGCGATGCAAACATCGAAAAACTATTATAGCAGCACCTGAATAATGAATTTTCAAGGACTTCACGATACCATGTAACGCAAAATGGAAAAACCCCTTTTTACCCAACTATGAAAACGGAAAATAGACTTTCAAATTTATTCATAATTAATTTCGAAATTTGGTTGTGCACAAAGCAGAAATGAAAAAGTAGCGCAAAAAAGTGTCGCGATACCCCTGGAGCGCTGCCGTGCAAAAGTCACCACTTAGTTGAAATTGGCACTGTGTTGCTAATACAACCTTGAACACCTCAAGTTCAAATGGTTCGAATGGTTGTGGACGGAATAGAAGAAGCTTTCGCTTAACAGGCTTCCGTGTCTAGTAGCAGGGGATCACCAAATCCTCCAGGCAGGAACCTAGGTATGTTAACAATAAAAGAGGAAAAGAAATTGGTAAATCATAGTATGATGCTGTCCTTGGTCCTTAAGAATAGGTCAAGTAGCCTCTTGGAAGACTCCTGAGAAGTCGCTTGGACCAGCTCGGCCGGCAGCGAATTCCAGCTTTTGACAACTCTTAAGGAATAGAAGTTATGTCTATATTCCGTTTTGCTATGTTGTGTCTCCAGTTTCTGGGTGCTACCCCTTAGGTTATTGTTCGAACTAAGCTTAAGTAGGTGTTTAATAGGATGTCCAGAAGTGTTATTAATACTATAAACCATTAATAAATCACCTCTAAGACGCCTATACTCCAATGGGTAAAGGTCTAGTGAATGGAGGCGTTCTTCGTAAGGTTTAGATTTGAGTCCTCGAACTGATTTCGTGGCTCGCCGTTGGATACGCTCCAAAGTGACCTTGTGCTTTTGGAGTGAGGGGGGAGTACTATGTTTCCGTACTCTAAATGGGGACGGATGAAACTATTGAAGATTATATGGAAAGTTCTTCCGTCAAACTGGCCAAAAATGCGCCTCAACGTAAATGACATCAACCTTTCCCTTGCAATCGAGGATGCTTGTCCATCTGTCCACCGCAGTCAGCAGGTTGGTTGTACAAGAGTAACCCTTCCTGAAACCATGCTGTTGGGGTGAGAAGAAATTTAAGGACAGTAGATAGTCATTTAAACCGTCGCATATCAGGGACTCCATGAGTTTTGAAGGTAATGACAGAAGAGCCACCGGCCGATAACTTGAAGGTTCATTGCGTCGACCACCTTTGAAAATTGGTGTGATGTGAGCCAACTTCCAATTTTCCGGTAATTTGCCTCGGCTAAGCGAGTGTGAAAACATCACGCTAAGCGGCGTTGCCAGGATTGAGTCTGCCTCCCTCAGTATGGCAGGATGAACCATATCCGGGCCAGGAGAAGTGTCAAGTCTTAAGTGCTGCAAGGTAACAGAGATTTTGTA